CCCCAAAACCCCAAAACCCCAAAACCCCAAAACCCCAAAACCCCAAACCATTTGTGACTAATTGATTTAATTCATCCCCCTCTAAATTACTAATTTGATTATTAATTTTCCTTTATCAGATGAAAAGAGCCAAAAGAAAGTTTTGGCATTTACTCTAGCAAAATGGTAGTTTTCACCCGAAGCATCTGAAAATCAAGAAAGCTACCCGCAGTGTTGATATTAACACCCTGGATTTAGTTATTTTCGGACAAACAAATGGGGGTTTTCTAGAAAACACCTCATATTTAACCAAGAATTTAAAGTGTGGAATCAATGGTATTCCTAAAACAGGATTTTCAACAGCTCCATTTTTCTCGATACCTTTTGGCCAGATTTTGTGGACTTTGGTAATTATACTTTGATCCCTCAAGGTCTAAAGCTGCATATATAAGTACGCAAAGTTATTAGGAATGCTATGATTAAATATTTTTCTGACCCTCGGGCAATTTGATACCAACCATAAGCTGTCGATTACCTAAGCTGATCCCTAAAATTTCCAGAATATAATGAGTTTGACTTAAGTATTATTATTTAGTAAATTAAGACAAATTAAATGAGAAGAGGTCCCTGTGACACTCCAAGTGGTTGACTCTAGCTACCACCTTTGAGTGAAGATCTTTGAAGCTCATATCGTCATCAATCTCAGTCTTCTTGTGATCGTTAATATGCTTCCAGAATCCGGTCTGGTACATCCTCGAACTTTCATATAAAAGTTTCCCTATCCTGATGATGGGATGGTTGAGTAGGATCTTCCTCTCCTTAACCTTGGAACTATTTCTCTGAGTTCTGAATACCTTTCCGAACTTAATAAGCTGCCTCTTTTGAGAAGTATTAAAGTTTTTCAAGGAATTGACTTTTTCAGTGAATTTCCAACCCATGCAGCTCACGCATATCTGCCCAAGAATCTTCAACTGAGCAGTTTTATGGAGGGTTGGGAAGCACCTTTGGATGAGTTGATCCCACAGGTTCAGCTTCTTATCATTAGTGTTCGCCTTGGCAGCTTTAGTAATATCGTTAAAAAAGTCTTTTGCGATATCACATAGAGCACGGAGGACTCTTTTCTCAACTAGATCTGGACGCTTCCAATTAGATTTATGAGGCATTACATTCTCAGTAATTGGAGCTTCAGAAGAAATCACCTTCTCAGAGCCTTTGTAGTTCTCAACAGAGATGTTCGAATGATAGAAGTCTTCCTGCTCAATTTTGAGCTTGACTTCTTCCTTCAGGTCATCTCTAGAGAAAGCGCATGGAGTTGGCTTAGCCTTAGCAGGCTGAGGTGGCTCCACGCTTTGAGGCTTAGGGTTAACGCAAAAGTCCTTTACCGCATGATCAAACTCCCATTCATTGAAGAAGATGGAATCGTTTGTTAGCTCGTCTTTGAACTTTGCTTCGACCCACTTTTGAAGTTTTTCTAGTTTATTGTCCGGCTCGCCTGGTCAAGGGCCCCTGAAAAGTTGATTACTGGAGTTACCATTCGTAGTGTGATTGCTCTCTTGCTTAAGATCTTCATGATTCATAGGATAATCTAAATGAGTAAGGTAAATAACCCGAAGGAGAATCTTCAAGAATCTCACCAATAAAGGGCTCCTGAAAGAGTTCGAGGACAACTTTGAAGACTTCCAAAGTGATGTAACTTGACCATAAGCAGGCCATAGACGTACCAAAATAATCCCCTTGCTCCTTGGTAAAGTAAGGGTAACGAGTGTTCAGGTTGAATACCTGTGACTTAGCACGATAGGGAGAGATCCCTTGTACTTTCGATATGACACAAGACGACGTCTGAGCAGTCTTCATGATTATATATATAGTTTTAAATATTAATAATTATAAATAAGATTTCTATTTCTCTTATATAGTCTGGGGTTTTGGGGTTTTGGGGTTTTGGGGTTTTGGGGTTTTGGGG